AAACTTATAAGTATTTTCATGTCATGTATTAGTGATTTTTAAATTGATCATGGCCATTGTCCATTTTAAAAACACAATGAAAAAATCTAAATAACTTTAAAGATAAAAATTAAATACGAATATCAATGAATAATTTAATACTTTTAAATTAAATTTTTTATTATTATCATATAAAATATAAAAAATAATTTTATATTATCAAACATAAAAGATAAAATAAAATAAAAAAAATATATTGAAACGATCAAAATGTTATTAGAAATCAAAATCAACATCATTAGAAGTCAAAATCAAAACTAGTTTTAAAGGATATTTTTATATTTTTTTCAAAGGCTATTTTTTAATAATAACATGTTAGATCATAGGCAATATAGTTTCTATCTAAATATATATAAAAAAGATGGGGCACATGTACAGCATCAAGAGGCATCAACACCTTTCCTGCGGTGTGTTCGACACCTCTCAAGCATCAAAAAATACCTTTCAATCATGTCTATGGAAGCATAATTGTGTCCTTTTTTTTTAAGTGTAGTGTGTGCCATCAATGATGATCTAATTTGTTGTTAGTTAGTTTTTTTTCTGCTTTTCTTTTCTTTTTTATTACAATAAAATTATAGTTTAGCCTTTTTGTTATTTGTATTTGTTTTTATTTTTTTAATTTTGAATATTTGGTTTTGCTTTTTTATAGAAGTTTTATTTATTTTTAATTTTATTATTTAATCCTAATTTACTAAATATTGTATTTTCTAATTCGATCCTTATTTTTTGAAATTTTAATTTTGTTTCTTAGTCCTTTTATAAAAGTTTTATTGATTTTCAATTTTACATCTTAATTCAAATTAATTGTATTATGCTTTTCAATTTGACATTCATTGTTTTGATTTCTAGTTTTTTCTTGGCTTTTTTGTAAATGTTTTTATTCTTTTCAATTTAACCCATCAATCAAAACATTTTTTTTACTTCTTATATTCATTTTGATCCTCACTTTTTTATTAATTTGGATAAAATAATTATTCTTTTAATTTCATCCTTTGTATAACTAAACAAAAAAATTTATTCAATTGTGATCCTTATTCTTTGAATTACTATATTTTAAGTCCTTTTGTATAATTGCATTTTTTTTTTAATTTTATCCTTTAATATTTAATTGATTAAGAATTAAACTTCATGATTTTTTTTAAATTGAATACTTTGGGTTTAATGACCAGAGTCATGAGTTTATGAAGTTAACACGATATTCTTTTTTATAAAGGGCTTTATAAATCTCTTGATTTTTTTTATCAGGTTATTTTAATCTTATAATTTAGATAGTGAGTTTAGCTGGATATCTCATATTAACTTGACCTTGATTATTGTGATTACAAGTTTGTCATGTTAACTTGAGTTAACTAAAACTGATGATATTACAAGTTTGAATATCATTGTTTTGCTTAAAAAATTAAAACAGAAACAATACAGCCTTACAGCAAAGCGTTGACGTTGAGGATAGTTAAGCCTAATCTATAACAAAAGATTATAAACTATAACTCCTCTACAGCGGCTTAAGATGTCTCAAAATGCCTCATAGGCTATAACATAATATTTGATTTGTATTTTGGGATATACAAAAGACAAACAATTGGAATAGATAGGAGAGAAGATAGAATAAGAGACAGGATATAATAGGAGACAGATAAAATTATGTTTTGTAGTGGTGTATAAAAAAATATTGAATAAAATATGAAGAAATATAATTCATGTTTTTGTATTTTGTTTGATTGATAGTAGCTAGGATATAATAAAATAAAATATATATATATATATATATTATATTGATTATTGTCAAAGAATCATATTGAACAAAATGTGGACCTTGGAAGATGAATAAACTCTCCATCCATGATCAAAAGATCACTCTTAATCCATTCATTCTTATAGGTCTTATACAAGTTTGAAATTAATAAAATTAAAACTTAGAATAATAGAAAATGAAACATTGCACTAAGAATAGAAGAGAAGAAGAAAATGCAATTGTTGTTTTTGACTAAAAAACAAATAGGATTATTTATTTAAAAAAAGACAGGATAATTTTGAAATTAATTTTTTTTATACAGATTAATTTTTTTATGGAGATATTTTAATGATAAAAATAATATTTATTGTTTTTATATAGATATATCTCAAATCTACCTCATGTTTTTTTAAAAAAGAATTCATTCCAAAACTCTTTTTTCGAACCATACATGTTTTTGTTTTCATTGTGTCAATTTGTTTTAAGATAATAATTGAAGACTAACTGATTATATTAAACAAATTCCATATCACTCTAATAACAATTGTTAACCTGTCTTGATCTAAGCAAATTGATCATTATTAATTTATCTTACTTTGAGCAAATCGATTATAATTGATGTCATATGGCCACTTGACAACATTAAATTTTCAATGCCAATAAACAACCTCTATTGAGTTGTTTTGAGTGTGTTGTTCCTTAAATTAACACCATAAATAGTCACATGACAAACATTTTAAGACCGTTAAATAGTGGTCTTATCCCTAAGCATACTCAAGAGTTTGTGACACAAATGAAAGCAATATAAGAAAGACAATAATTATAAGAACACAAAATTATACTAAATAGAAATCATGTAAAAACTCCAATTTAAAATTTTACCATTGAATATTTTATGTTCAAGTACTTTGTTTTTTTAAAGGTTTACAACTCCTGAAATAAACTTAAAACATACATAAACTAACAAAGAAACCTAAAAATAAAGGGAAAGTAATAAAAGTCTTATACAAACTAAGAAAAAACATCTTAAATAAATCTCAAAAAATAATAAAAGAAGTTTAAACCAAATAGAGAAAAAAAATATTAAATCAACTAGAAAAATATTGAACATCTTGAATCATAAATTCTTGCCATTATTGGAAGCCTTTCCCAATCTCCAATTCTTGCAAAAGTTTCATTTAATAAGAAATAGACTTCGAGAATCTCCTAGCAAAATTTCACTTCAATCTGATGGTCATATCAAAAGTTATGTGTAATATAATATAAAATTACATATTAGAAAGAAAGAAAATCTCATATATCAGTCTCTCTAAGTTCAAGAGAACTCATCATTAAATTCAAATTGCACTTGTCTCAATTACATGAATATTCAATCAAAACTCCACAACCCCTTTTCTTTTTGCACGTCAAGTGTATAATAATTTTAGACATCAACTTAAGTTATTTTATCTTAAAACTTGTATAAGAATCATCAATTGACAAATTATTTCTCATCCATTGACTTTTAATGTAATAAATTCTCAACCTTAAACTTGCTTCACCAATATTTGTTATGTCTACATGATAACACTTAAAAACATATACCTTTGAGATAACATTAACCTTGTAATAAAAAAGATCAATATGATTTAAATCAATAATTTTTTTTCTTGAACATCTTCCATATTTTCTTTGCACTTAACCTCTATTTTATCGTCAAGGACATCATCAATAATATCATCACTACCATTACTTTTATTATTTATGATATCATTATCACCATATAAAATAAACATCATAAATTGGTAGAGAATACCAATTAATATTTATCTCATCATGAACAAGATCACCAAAATCTTCACGATACTTATCTCGATTAAGAACTTGTATCCTCTACTCACACCTTTGAAATGGGTTCTTAAAACTAGTCATGAATTCCAGATCACTCTTCTCATAATCTTTCAATATTTTCTTTCTCATCTTTGCTAATCAACGAGATAGTTTTTCAACTTGTCTTTGCATACTTATTATCTCCGGTCAATGAGTTGATTTTGCATTTTTGTCTTCGTATGTCTTCTATCACCAGTTTTTGAATGTTTCTCTCAAGGGGGGAGTCTCCTTATCCTTTCTTACCCTAACAAGTTATGCCTTGCAACCTCTTCAAGCCATGATTATGTAGTAGCACACAACAAACAAAATAACATGAGATTGCAACACATATCAATCAATATCTTAGGATTGTTGGGCTCTGATACTAACTGATACATAACTTTGATACGAATTGATGTATAAAAAAGCAACACAAGAAAGACAACAAGTACATGAACATAAACTTATACCAAATATGGATCAGACAAAAACTCTAATTTAAAATTTTATTACTGAATATTTTTCATTTAAGTAATCTACTTTTCTAGAGCTTTACAACTCCTTATATAAACCTAAAAACTTACCTAAACCAAGAAGAAAACATGAAAAATAAAGGAAAAATAATAAAAGTCCTACACAAACTAGGAAAAAACATCTTAAATAAATATAAAAAAATAATCAAATAGAAAAATAATCTTAAACCAACTACACAAATATAGCAAATCTCAAACTATAACTTCTTAACATTATCAAAAGGTCTTCTCAAGTAAAATTTTTACTATCTAGAAAACAAGGCGTTTAGAATCTATTAGCAAATTTTTACCTCAATTCATGCTCACATTGAAAGTGATGCCTAATAACATAAAATTATGTATTAAAAAAAAATTCTTATAAATCAGTCTCTTCGGGTTAGAGAAAACTCATGCTCCAATTCAAATTACATAACAAACAATTTAACTTGGGATTGTAGCAGATAACAAGCAATAACATGAAATCATTCAACTTTGATACTAGCTAACACATTAATTGATATCGATATAAGAAACACAAGATACACAATAAGCACAAGAACACAAAATTATATTAAATAACGATCACACAAAAATTCTAATTCAAAATTTTATTACCGAATATTTTCTGTTCAGGCAATCTATCTCTCTTTACAATTTCTAAAATAAACTTAACTTACCTAAACTAACATGGAAATATGAAAATCAATGAAAAGTAATGAAGTCCTACACAAAGTAGAAAAAAACATCTTTAATAAATATAAAAAAAATAATAAAAAAATTCTTAAATTAAATAGAAAAAAATTATAAACTAATTAGAAAAATATCATAAATCTTGAACAATAACTTTCAATTGTCATGAGATTCTAGTAAAATTTGAACTTTATCTAATTAAATAAAAAATTATACTCAATAAAATAAAATAAAACGGTGTTAAGAAAAAATCTCATATATCATTTTGCTAGTACCTTCGTATCACACAACACCACTATATCCCGGCAATCTATGCATTCTATGGCTTTGCACAACTCTCCTCACCAAAAAAGCGTCCTCCCACCTCCCCACATCTGCATATAAGTTGGATAAAAGGATTCTACTTGGCCCATGAGATGGATCCAACTTGGCCAAATTTTCTGCAGCCCTTTCTCCTATAGTTATGTTACGATGTGTTTTACATGCTGACAACAACATACCCCAAATAACAACATCAGCCTTCATAGGCATGCTTCGAATCAGTTCCTCGGCTTCCTCAATTCGCCCAGCTTTGCCCAAGAGATCAACCATACAACCATAATGCCTGATATCAGGATCTATATTGTGTTTGGACTTCATGCTCTTAAAATAGCTCTTCCCTAGCCCCACCAACCCAGCATGGCAACACGCACTAAGAACTCCAATGAAAGTGATTGCACTGAGCTTAATATGGCGCCTTTGCAAGTTTGAATATATTTCAAGAGACAATTTTGCATGTCCATGGGTGGCCAGCCCACATATTATGGTGTTCCACGGCGAGATAGTAGATGCCTTATCTCGAATTTGATAGAACACTTCTAAGGCAGTGTTGATGCTACCACATTTGGCATACATGTCGATGATTGAAGCACTTAAGTTGTCATTTAGAGGGATGGAGTTATAATGCACATATTCATGGGCCCATCTCCCTTCTTTCAAAGTGCCTAAAGCAGCAATTGCGGAGAAAACACTCACCATTGTCACTTCATTTGGTCGGATTCCACTAGTTACCATCCCATAAAACAGCTCCAAAGCCATGCCAGGCTGGTCATTTTGTGTATAACCAGAAATCATCGTACTCCATGAAAAGACATCTCTCTCAGGCATCTCATTAAATAATTCCCTTGCCCGATCAATTATTCTATTTCGTATAAATCCTGCTATGAGAGCATTTCGAGAAGCAACATGGTCCTTATTGCCGAACTCTAATTGTAAACAAGCCTCATTAATCCTGCCACAAGCTGAGTAAAAATGGATAACTGTCGCCTGCACAGAGTCATAACAGTCAAAACTTGTCTTCACAACAACGCAGTGCAATTGCTGACCCTCAACAATTGCCATTGCTCTCCCACATGCAGAAATTAAATCAATCATCGTTACTTCACTAGGTCCCAACCCTGTAAAGACCATCAAACGATACATCATGAGAGCTTCTCTTAACCGTTCTACTCGAACGTAACCATCAATAATTGTGCCCCATGAAACAATATCTTTATCTGGAATCATCTCAAACACTTCCTTAGCCAAATTGGCAAACCCTGCCTTGGAATACCCATTTAACATCACATTCCACGAAACTACATTCTTTTCTTGCATCCCATCAAACAAAGCTCTCGCTTCTCCTAAACTCGAAGAAGCACAGTACATGTTTAACAAATTCGTTAAGACAAGAACGAACCCGTCAAACATCATCTTGATAACTAATCCGTGAAGCATTCTGCAATCCCAAATCCTACCCACACGACAACAAGCCGATATCACACTTGCCATAGTCACCTCATTAGGTACCACACCCACATTTCTCATTTCCTTATAAACCTTAATTGCCTCACCCCAAAAATCATTTTTAACAAAGCCCATTATCATCGTAGTATATGAAACACAACCTTTTTGAGGCATTACTTCAAACAACTTGCGTGCGTCATCTAAATTCCCAGATTTCACATACCCACAAATCATTATATTACATGACACAGGGTCCAACTTAGGACACCAATCAAACAATGATTTTGCAAGACCGAAAAACCCACATTTGGAATACATGTTAATCAAGCTATTTCGTATGAAAGTATTTGAATCAAGGCCTGATTTTAAAACAAGGCAATGGATTTGTTGGCCTCGGCCTTGAGAGATAGCCAAATGGGTTGTTGCGCAGGACTTCATAGCTGAGATTAAAGAGCGCTCGTAATTGAAGTTTTTCTGGTGTGCTTTGAGAGAGAGCAGATGTTGGATATGGTGAAGAAGGTATTGTTGTGATTGAAGAAGTGGGGCCGGGGAGGTTTTTGTAGAGACCCATTTAAGAGAAGTGAGTGTTGGAGAAGGAGGAGGAGGAGAGGAAATGAGAGAGCGAAGAAGAGATCTGAGCTTGAAAGATTGGGTCATGGAAGGGAACCATGAGAACTTGTGTCCATTCAAGGAAGAAACAGATTTTGGAGCGAAAACTTTTTTTCCCTAAGAGTAAGGCAGTCGGAGGTTAGTGATGGTATGCCAAGTAAAAAAAATTAACGTAAAAGAAAATATATGGGTGTTGTTATTTTTTTTAAAATAAAAAACTACGAAAAGTTTCATATGTAAATTACATGTTTATGCATGTATTTAATAAATTAATTGATGATTATATATGTTAAATCAAATTGTGTTGAAGTTGATTTAATTATATATTGATACGACTAAAAGATTGATATTTTCTTCCAAGTATAGGAGTGTCAAAGTAATAAATAACCCGATAAGATCGGGGTCGAATCACAAGGAAGTTAATTATACAAATTATAAATAATAATAATACAATAATAACAACAACAATAATAATAGTAATAACAACAACAACAACAACAACAACAACAATAATAGCAATAGTTGTAGTAATAGTAGTAATACCAATAATAAAGAAAAAGAAGGAAAAAAAAAGAAGAAGATGATGAGAACTTTGAGATTGATTATTAATATAAGGATTAAACAATGATAACAATAAATGTCAAGGTTAGAGGACTTGAAAATGACATTTTTAGATCTTGAGCTCCATATGAAAGTTGTAGGCCTATATCTTACCTTTTCATCCATATAAAGTAGACCTAAATTTGAGATCTATAACTCCAGATATGACCTAATTACCGAATATTTTTTCGGTTTGGATTGCACCGATGTCTCTTTTCTAAGTTTGGCCATCTCTTTGTCCTTTCAATTTCAGTTCTTAAATTCATCAATCAATCATTTCATTTATATGATAGGCCTGCATTTAAAATTAACATTTACCACAAATTAAAGATATCTTATATTATTAGATATATTATTATAAAACATGCTTTAGTTAAGGAGTTATTAATACTTCAAGTGCAAAATGATGATACAAAACTTTGATAAAAATGCACTTTTAATTACTAATCACACCCCCCAACCAGCTTATTACTAGTCTCTAATAATCAAAGCATTAAAATAGAAAAATACTTTGCAAATTTCACAAAGCAAGGTATTCATCATTTAACTTCCATTAATCTATCCAGATAAACAAACACTCGTTAAATTTATATACCTGCTCAATACCTCTTAACAAGATATTAATAAACCTTTCTTTT